ACAGACCTGGGGCTTACAGGACACTACTATGAGGGCAGGGGACACTACAATGGGGGGGGGGGGGGGGGGGGATGTGAGGATGTGAAGAAGGTAAGGGACACAGCATTGGGAGGGTACAGAACACTACTAATGGGGGGGGGGGGGGGAAAGGGGGCAGAGGACACTACTGTGGGGGAGCAATGTGAAGAGGGCAGTGAACACTGCATTGGGGGAGGTACAGGACACTAATGTGGAGGGAGGGGGAAAGAGGACACTACAGTAGGGAAGGGTGATGTGAAGTCGGGTAGAGGACACTGCGTTGGGGGGGGTACAGGACACTACAGTGGGGGGTGATGTGAAGGTGGGGCAAATGACCCAGCTGTAGTGGGGCAGGGACATTAGGGGGGGGGAGTGGTGATGTAAAGGGGGCAGAGGACACAGCACTGGGGGGTACAGGACACTACTGTGGGGGAGGGGGGCAGAAGACACTACGGCGGGGGGGAGAAGTGATATTGAGAGGGCACTACATTGTAATACAGAACAATGTGGGGGGGGGAGGCAGAGGACACTAAAGTGGTGGGTGTGATATGAAGGGGTACTGCGTTTGGGGGGTAGAGAACACTACTTCGGGTGGGGGGGGGGGGGGCAGAGGGCACTGCTATGGGGGGCAGAGAACACTAAAGTGGGTGGGGGTGATATGAAGGGGCACTGCATTGGGGGGGTAGAGAACACTACTGTGTGGGTAGGGGGGCAGAGGGCACTGCTATGGGGGCAGAGGACACTACTGTGGGGGGAGGGATGTGAAGGGGGGGCAGAAGACACTATTGTAGGGGGTGATGTGAAGAGGGGCAGAGCACACTACAGTGACACACTATGTGTTCTTCATGCCGTCTTTTTATTGGGAGCTTTTCTTTCATTTTTGTAAGGGCACTGCCTAGTGCCTCCTCCCCCTTCCTAGGGATCTTTGCTTTCCTCCATGTTGTCCAGGTAGATCTCAACCTCTGAAAGGTTGCCTACCCCTTGTGTAGTGTATACTAGGCATAGGCTCACCACGCCCAATGTTCAGCCCTATGTAGCCACACCAACTTTTTACTGTGATGTGTACAACACACCATATGATCCCTTATCCAGACTGTCCCATACAGGTGAAACTCAAAAAAAATTTGAATATCGTGCAAAAGTTAATTTATTTCAGTAATGCAACTTAAAAGGTGAAACTAATATATGAGATAGACTGTTTACATGCAAAGCAAGATAGTTCAAGCCGTGATTTGTCTTAATTGTGATGATTATGGCTTACAGCTCATGAAAACCCCAAATCCACAATCTCAGAAAATTAGATTATTGTGAAAAGGTGCAATATTCTCGGCTCAAAGTGTCCCACTCTAATCAGCTAATTAAGCCAGAACACCTGCAAAGGGTTCCTGAGCCTTTAAATGGTCTCTCAGTCTGGTTCAGTAGGAATCACAATCATGGGAAAGACTGCTGACCTGACAGTTGTGCAGAAAACCATCATTGACACCCTCCATAAGGAGGGAAAGCCTCAAAAGGTAATTGCAAAAGAAGTTGGATGTTCCCAAAGTGCTGTATCAAAGCACATTAATAGAAAGTTATGTGGAAGGGAAAAGTGTGGAAGAAAAAGGTGCACAAGCAACAGGGATGACCGCAGCCTGGAGAGGATTGTCAGGAAAAGTCCATTCAAAAGTGTTGGGGATTTTCATAAAGAGTGGACTGAGGCTAGAGTCAGTGCATCAAGAGCCACCACACACAGACGGATCCTGGACATGGGCTTCAAATGTCGTATTCCTCTTGTCAAGCCCCTCCTGAACAACAATGTCACAAGCGTCTTAACTGGGCTAAAGAAAAACCTGGTCTGTTGCTCAGTGGTCCAAAGTCCTCTTTTCTGATGAGAGCAACTTTTGCATCTCATTTGGAAACCGAGGACCCAGAGTATGGAGGAAGAATGGAGAGGCACACACTGCAAGATGCTTGAAGTCCAGTGTGAAGTTTCCACAGTCTGTGTTGATTTGGGGAGCCATGTCATCTGCTGGTGTTGGTCCACTGTGCTTCATTAAGTCCAGGGTCAACGCAGTCGTCTACCAGGAGATTTTGGAGCACTTCATGCTTCCTTCCACAGACAAGCTTTATGGGGATGCTGACTTTTCCAGCAGGACTTGGCACCTGCCCACACTGCCAAAAGCACCAAAACCTGGTTCAATGACCATGGGATTACTGTGCTTGATTGGCCAGCAAACTCGCCTGACCTGGGCATTGCCGAGAGAAAGACGAGAGACGTGAGACCGAACAATGCAGAAGAGCTGAAGGCCGCTATTGAAGCATCCTGGTTTTCCATAACACCTCAGCAGTGCCACAGGCTGATAGCTTCCATGCCACGCCGCATTGAGGCAGTAATTGCTGCAAAAGGGGCACAAACCAAGTACTGAGTACATATGCATGCTCTTTACTTTTCAGAGGTCCGATATTGTTCTATGTACAATCCTTGTTTTATTGATTGCATGTAATATTCTCATTTTCTGAGATTGTGAATTTGGGGTTTTCATGAGCTGTAAGCCATAATCACAATTATGACAAATCACGGCTTGAACTATCTTGCTTTGCATGTAATGAGTCTCATATATTAGCTTCACTTTTTAAGTTGCATTACTGAAATAAATGAACTTTTGTACGATATTCTAATTTTTCGAGTTTCACGTGTATTATAAAAGTCTAAAGTTGGAAGATATTGTATTTCAGTCACTGACACCAGTATTGAGGGTTATTACTGCGGACACCGACATCGCTGCTGGGTGTTATAATTGCAGACACTGACACCAATATTGGGGGTTATTGCTGCAGAATATACTTTATAGTACCACAAAATATTTCTTTTTTTGATTGAAATTTTGGAGAAGGATTGGGGCTTATGCTCAAACCCAATGGCCACTGTCTACAAAGGGTGCAAAAAATGATTCATTAACCCAAACAGCAATGGAACGCACCAGGGTTGTCCCGTCCCCACTAAATTTTAGTGTCATTGGAATAATTCCTAAGCACTATTAGTGCAAATGCTGCTATAACTGGCTTTGATACAGGCAAAATCATTCATAAGATCACAGCATATGAAAATGACCTTATTTTCTTTATTTCACCTCCTCAAACCACTCTACCCATAATTTTACGGGAACTCGCTCAATGTCTCAAAAGCTGTGAGCGCATACAACAGAATTTTCCTTTCCGATAGTCCTCCTCTCATATCAAATATTTGGGTACTTAGATCCCGGCAAACTTGAAACATTATTGAACTTAATTTTTGCCCCCTGTCTAAAAAGATCAAATTGGTTCCCCAAAACTGTAATAAAAAGGTATTCACCTGGTTCGTGTGAAATAGCATTCTGAAAATGAATGTCCTCCCTTGTATATTATATCTGCTGCAGACTTCACAAATCAACCTTCGAAAGGGCTGTCTGAAAAATCTACAAACCCACTTTTTAGATTACCTATGGGGTGGAAAAGCCTGGAATAACTTGATCTGTCTGTTCACCTGATGAGACGTCTAGACTGGTGTACCCAGAAGGATTGTAAATCCTAGCTAGACCTTGAACAAGCTTCACATTCCCTCCTTCTTGAGGCCCTGGCCTGGGTGACACTGCCAGCAACCTTAAAAAAACAACTGATCACATCCCATCCTCTAATAGGGTCCACCACTAAAGTTATTAAAACAATTTTCAAGACAACCTCTCTTTTCCCACACTCTAGTCCACTTCTGCCCATTATCAGCTCACCTCAATTTCCACAGTGTTTTCAAATCACTTTTCCTATTAGGATAAACCAATGACTAATGCCAAAATCAAAGCCTCCTTTAACCTTGGTCTAGATTTTATGCATTGCTTACAATTTGGATCTTTCCTTAGGTCACTACCATCCACATACCAAACTATTTGGGTGCTTACATCATTCGAAAAACTCTGTAAGGAGGTGGTTCTTATTAGATACGCTTTATCGCAATTGTATTCCATGTTACTCTCTGGGAAACGTCAAAAAGGCCCTAGCAGAAATATGAAAGACTGTATCAGGGCATTTACATGTCATTGTGGAACCCTGGTCAGGCATGCCACTCATTCATGCTAGAACAATGCAATGTCATATTTTATGCTTGATACATACTGTATTGCTTGGTTCATTTGTTTATGCACCATAATGCTATTTCATACTTTATGTGCTGAAAATGTTTGCCCTGTTGCTAGCAGAATTAAAAAGAAAAAAAAAAAAAAAAAGAGAAAACACCTTGTTTCATCTAGCAGGCACTCTTAATTTCTTGATGTATTTTGTTGGCATATATTGCCCCTTCCTCAGGAGATTTAGGGAGAATATCTATGCATACTAATGCATAGATCTATGCACTTTATGCATAGATATCCTACCTAAATCTCTTGAAAAAGTGGCAATATATGCCTACCAAAATGTGCGGAGAAAGATTTTTCTCACTGTCTGCATTAAAGACCTTGAGACTTCTGTGTGATGTAAAATTTTGAGTGGTAAAATATTGCAGGAGAGCAGAATTTACATAAGTGGCAGAATCGATTAATGTTATGTGTATTGTTTGTACATGTCAGCCTGCAGCACAAACTTTTAAAATATTTTTTTTTGTGCAAGTAAAGTAAATATATAGATTCTATTTAAAATGCCTATATTGGCAACTGTTGAAGTCCAATATTATTTAACCGCTATTATTTTTGGTGAAAGGGATGGTGATACTTACTCTAAGGGTTTCGATACCCCTTTTTAATTTTAGTCTAGTATCATTGCGCCCCTCTGTCAATTATCTGAGTTTGGTTGCCTGCACTTGACCTGACAATCTAAGAACACAGTAAAACAAAAAAAATTATTTTTACATGTTGTCTGAATGATTTTCTTATCTGGCCATTTGAATCTATCCATAGCTTGGCATAGCGTCGTATGCAGTATTGCTCTTCAACGTCCGGATTTATAACTTTCGTGATCACTTCATTAAGCTTTGAATGGGGAATCGTTTCATAGGCTCCTTTCACATCTGTCTGAAATCAGAAGAAAACACACTATTTTAGGGCTGGCATTACAATAAAACAAACATTCTATAAAGCAGGTGTAATGAATTAAAATTCATGGAGGTCCAGTCAGTAAAAGATTCTTCCAACAGAGGTCAGGATCACATTTGTGCCATTCTTCGGATCCTTCACATCACAATCCCCATCTCCACTTCATATCTCTTTGGCTGGAGAACAGTCATGAAATTGAACATATTCCCAACCCACAGAAAAATGTGCTGTACTTCATCAGATGTGCGGGGGTGCCATTAATTCTTAAACGCACCCCCACAAATTGCCACCTATGGCACATTTTCACACACACCAAGCAGCTTTTTGCAGCGCAATTGTTTTATCATTATATCTTTTATTACATTTTTCATTAAAAAAAAAAAAAAAAAAAAAAAAATCAGCAATATACCATTTTTATCCAAAACACAACAATTTCACCTAAATTTCCCATCCTAACCTCCCCTCCCCTCCCCACCCCTCTCACCAACCCCCCTACACCTTACCCCAGTCCATTTTACTCTTTCCATCTCTTTTCAACAATCCAGTTCATGTCTATACCCTTTCTTCTCCATCATCTTCTTCCCTCTCTTACCCTCCAACCTTTCTTTTCCATTTTCCTACTACAGTATTACAAAACGTTCCCTTTGGTTCTCCTACCACAGATCAGATCACTGAACCTCTCACTACTTCCATATATTTTCCAGATGCCTTGAAGTCATACCATCTTCCCCATTCCCTTCCAAACTTTTCCATTTTACCTTTGTCTATATGGTATAACTCCTCCATTTTATTTATATATTCAACCCTATTTAACCAATCCTTTACTGTTGGAGGCTCCTGTACCTGCCAAAATTTGGGAATAAGCCCTTTAGCCGCACTGATTAGATGATATAATACACTATTATATTGTTTCACCGGTACTTCTGACCTATAAAATAATCACACACACAGGTCCTTCTGTATAGTTATCCCTAGTATCTCTTGTATAAATTGGATTAGATCTTGCCAAAACCACTGTATTTTTGGACACCCCATTTATGTGCCATTGTTCCCTTGGTTCCACATCCTCTCCAACAAAGCGGTGAGACTTCTACTCGTTGTCTATGTGCAACACTTGATGTAAAATACCATCTCGTTAATTTATAATGAATTTCTACCATGTTCATCACCCCATGTGTTAATTTAACGTCCCTAGCGGTCTGATCATGTCAATATTTCTGTGCTCAAAGCGGTACATTTTTTTTTTTTGCATGGAAATGTCGTTTTTTTTTTATTGTAGGCTTGTCATTTTTAGGAATAACTCACTGAAATCTGTCCAAACAAGAGTCTAGTAAACATCCCGGATATGATAAAATTTGAAAACACGAAATAAATTATATAATAAATCATAAAAAAATACATTTAATTCAATAATACATTTAAACCAAAACACTGAAATTTGAAATAGAGCGCCAAGTTTGCACATCACCGAGCTTAGTCGCAAAATCGTTTTCAGTGTCTGATGACGAATTTCCCCACGAATCATTATCACTGAATTCTGCAAGTGGTTCTAATTTACCATCGCTGGTTTCTAGCTGGTCTAGAAAACCTCTTGACCTAAAGGGATGCTTTTTGGGTGCCATGGACGTTTCTCAGTTTCAAGGCAGAAAGAACAGCAAAAATGCAGGCAGGGCACAGGACAAAACGTATGTGAAATGGTTTGATACAGTAATGTTATACCATCAGATTTTAGTGTATTTAGCGAATGTCACTTTTTAATATTTTTACAATTTCCCGCTGGTTCCGTCCCCGTACGACCTGATGCTCGCAGGGATCGGAATCTGGAAGACGGATGCCGGCATCGGCCGGAGGAGATGGCCGGGGACGCTGCAGGGGGGACATCGCGGGAGCGAAGGACAAGGAAAATGGGAGCATGTCCTCCGCCATCCTCCATGGTTAAGGCAACTTCGAAACAAAACGTCTTAACTGACAATATCTCAGTTCATCTAATGCCATAAATATCTTTTTTACCTTTTAAATCTTGAAAATGCACAACTTCCCCTTAACTATTAAAATTACCCAACCGTGAATCTACAACTTTAAACCATATCCCCGAAATATCTTTCCCTGGCGGGAAAAAAAAAATCAGTTCCCACCAGGGGAATTAACAGTGAATTATACTTCCAGTCCATTTGTTTGTGTAATCTATCCCATACTCTAAACACCTCCTGTGTCAGCGTACTACTAGACTCATCCATAATACGAAACGTTTGTGGTATCCAACTAATCCTCTCTAATCGTGTGTTACGTAAAGTGCTTTCTATTTTAACCCAACTCTTCCCCTGTGAATTATGTCTAGTCTACAGTTCATGAAAGTATCACCGCAATGTAATAATTCTTAATATCGGACAAATTTAATCCTCCTTTTTCTCTTTCTTATTACACAGAAGTTCATACCCAATTCTCGGTTTCTTATTAGCCCATATATATTTAAGTATTAATTTTGTTTTTATCAAAGAAGGATCTTGGGATATGGACTGGGAGCATGTGGAATTTATATAAGATTTTTGGGACTATCACCATCTTAACCAGATTTATGCAAAGAATCGAAGGGACCCTTCCCCTTGAGAGTCTTCTAAGCTCCTCCTTTATTTCGTTTATTAATGGGATATAGTTTACCCGGTATATATATTTTATAGGAGTCAACTTTACTCCTAGGTAACCCAATTCTTTCTCCCTCCATGAGAATGGGAAGTCCTTTTATAGAGACTACGTCATCATTGATATTCAAGATCTCCGATTTTAATGGGATTTATTTTCAAGTTTGAAAGCTCTCCATACTCTATTAGTACTCTCATTAAGTTGGGAAGCATTAACCCAGGTTTCACAATATAAAAAAGCAAATCATCAGCATATTCCACTACCTTATGCTCTATATCACCTATCTTGATTCCTCTAGTATCTATACTCTCTCACTGTCACTAGCAACGGTTCCAGGGATAAAACAAATAACAGGGATAAGGGGCATCCCTGTCTTGTACCATTGTACATCCTTAAAACCCCTGAGAGAGACCAATTTACCTTAACCGCCGCTGTCGGGCCATTGTAGAGCATCTTTATCCAACTCATCATTTTAGGCCCTATTCCCAAAACTTCCAGGGTATTCATCATGAACCCTCAGTCTACTCTGTCAAAAGCCTTTTCAGCGTCAACCAACAACACTATTGCTGGTAATTTTTCCCTCTTTGCCTTCTGCAAAAGAAGCAATGTTCTTAAACCATTATCCCTCCTATCCCTTCCTGGGACAAAGCCCACTTGATCTACATGTATGCATTCAGGCATGAGCTTTTTTTTTTTACCTCATAGCAAGCACCTTCGTAAACAGTTTTGTATCTGAATTTAAGAGTGATATAAGTCTAAAGCTAGCACATTGTGAGCTATCCTTTCCTTGTTTTAGAATTATTATTGTATACGATTGCAGTTATTCTGCTCTTATTCCCATTCCCTTAGGCGTTCATATATGTACAAAATTTCAGGACCAATAGGTCTCTAAATTTCTTATAATACCCCATCATATACCCATCAGGCCTTGGGCTCTTCCCTCCTGCTGTATTCTTCAGGGCCCTATTAATTTCTTCCTGGGTTCTAAAGAAACCAAATTGTCTTTTGAAATTTTTGGCAGCTCTGCTGCCTTTAGGTATTCCAGCCATTTCCCCTTCTTTTCTTCCTCTAACGTTCGGGTTCTTAGATTTTACATCATACAGCCTACTATAGAATTTTTGGAATGTTTCAGCAATATCAGTAGACCAGTTCTCCTTTTTCATCCTTAATTTTTTCAATATAACTTTTTTTTTTATTTCTTTTCCTTGAGTCTTTTCATCAGATATTTTCCTGGTCTGTTCCTCCACTGGTATCTTTCCTTTGAAACCCTATTGAAAATCCTCCTTGATTCCTGTTCCGATAGATCTTTTAACTCTTCTTTAAGTATGATCTTTGCATAAATTTCTGTGTCCCATCTCTTTTTATGTGCCTGTTCTAATCTATTTAGTTCCTCCGTCACCTACTTTATTTTTTTCTCTTACTTTTTTTGTTTGGTTCCTGCGGCTATCAGGATTCCCCTCATGTACGAGTTATGTGCTTCCCAAGTCATGGCCACAGAGAATTCCTTTAATTTTAATCTATCAGAAAAAACAGCTTGATTTCCTCCCTTAACCTACTCTCTATTTCAGGGTCCTGTCTCATTAAGTCTCCACATTGCCCTTTTGTTCCATTCCCCTCCCACCTTTAATCTCGCCGTGACAGAAGCATGATCCAAGATAGACATAACTTCTATATTAGTTTTAACCAATGAGTTCAATTGTCTATGCTCGACAAATATATAATCCAAACATGAGTACAATCTATGTGCCAAAGAGAAGAAGGTATAGTCTCTCTCTAGGATGTTTCACCCTCCATGTATCCATTAAATGACTTTGATGTAACCTTTTTCAACATTCTTGTTTACCTCCTCCTCTCTGTGTGTTCGATGACATATCCATCCATGGATCAAGGCAAAAATTAAAGTCTCCTGCCAAGACCAGCATCCCCTTCTTAAACTCCATAATTTTCCCCAACACTCCAAACAGAAAGGCTTCTGGGTTTTGATTCGGGCAATAAATAATAAACAAGATATGGCTTTGCCCCCACATTTTCCCTCTTAGACATAGGAACCGGCCCTCTGGGTCAACCAATCTCTCCACAACAAAACAACGTTTTTTGAGAACCCAATCGCTACTCCTTTAGCCCTCTTTATTGGTGAATCTGCATAATACCATGCTGGGTAGTACCTCGAGTATAATTTAATGTTCATATCATATGATAGATATGTCTCTTGTAAGAACACAATATCTGTGGAGAGTTAGTGAACTTCCCTAAGTATCTTATGTCTTTTAGTAGGGGAGTTTATACCCTTCACATTATATGTCATAAAATTAATCAGGCTCATAGCTACCTAGTATTTATTTTTTCTTTCTTGTTCATGGGAAAAACAGTGTAGACTACCCATTTCATGTATCTTCCTCCCACCCCCCCTTCCCCCCACCCACTCCAGCCCTTACCCAAATAACAAAAAAACCCTTGGCATACATATTGCCCTGGAATCCAACGTGGGATTCCCCCACTGGTGATTCTTTATTTGGGGTAACACTCTAAACATGGACGCCAACTACTTCCCCCCCCGCTCTCAGCATGGGGTTTAAATATTTCCTATTTGGCCTCCCAACGCCTTACCATCTCTACTTATCATCCCTGAAGACCTGCTAGGAACACGGGGGACGGGGAGGAAGGAGACAATTCATCTCCAAAAACCCCCTATCCCTCTCCCACTGACCACTACCCCTCCCCCCAATTCAGTCTGTCTTCTCTTTTTATTCACTGGCTGCCACTTTTCTTTTTTTGACCTCTGATGTTCACGTTCATTTTAACACTCCAACCACCCCACAACTCCCACATTCTGCAGTTCTAATTTTTCACAAAAGTCACTAAGTTCTTCTGGGAATCTTATCCTTGCTGATTTCCCGTCTTTCCACACGATAAGACATGTTGGGAATCCCCAATTGTATTGAATTCTCTTTTCCCTCATCTGATTCAATAAGGGTTTCAACAATCTTCTTCTAGCTAATATCTCTGAGGCAATATCTGCAAAGACTTTGCTTTTCCAAATTTTATCTCTGGGGTCTCCCGCAAATTTTTCCATATTCTTTCTCTGTCTTCATAATGATGGAATCGGACAATAACATCTCTAGGGGTGTCTGATGTTACTCCAGGTGGGCGTCAATCTATGAATTCTCTCATTCTTCAAAGGGCCTATGACTGATCTACCTATCAATAGGGTAAACACCTTTTTTTATTCCCAGAGATCCTCTTCATATGAATCCTCTGGGAGGCCCCTAAATCTTAGATGATTTTTTCTCTATTTTCTCTGTCCTCCAATTTAAATAATGGCTTCCTCTGTTCCCATCTCCTCCAACTGCGTTTCCAGATAACATATCTGCTGAGCCTATGTCTCTTTTCACTCCTCCACTTCTTCCACCCTTAACATTTGCCCAAGATCCTTATGAATTACTGCCGTTTCATTGTTCATAGAAAGTTCCAGGCCTGCAAACATTTCCGCCATCTCTGTTTTTGTGAGAATTTTTGATTTTACTCCGTTTCGAGACATTTTGATCATTTACACCATCGTTTATAGGATTTATTAATCTAATTCCCTTCATGTATTCCAAATGACTGCTCACCATCATACTTTCTACTTTTTTCCTGAGGTTTCTCTGGACAATATCTCTCGTCTTTTTTCCTGTAATGGTATTTCTTTATTGTACTAGTATATGCGTTGGGTTGCAGGGTTTTTTTTTTCAACCCCCCCCATTTAGTGGGTCTGTTCTTCATATTGGCTATGCTTAGCCGTAAATTTCCCACTCACTTTTCAAAATGCAATATACTCACATCTACGGAAGACCCATTGTCCTTGTTCTTCCACAATGACTTTTGCAGTCCTAAATAACATTTATAGCATAGACGCTATTAGCAGCACTACTTGACCCTGAGATACCCTGGCTCCTTGGTCTTCTGACCGCACAGCCACACTGTTCAGGTGTACAGTTACTGACAACAGAAGAAAATAGCAACTTGGGCTTCTGGATCTGGCTGTCTCTGTACGGTCTTCTATCCCAGTCAGGATCTCATATTTCTGTTTGCTGTGTCACCTGAGTCGTCTGAATGGGGGTCTGGGTGGGAGCGCCGGATGTCCTGTATGCTAAAGTCCTGTGTCCTCAGATTTTTTCCTAACCTCTAGGTCTCCTGCGGTATGTCCCTCTTTTCAGGTTGTTGGGAGTATCCAGCCAGCTTAGCACATCTCCGCACAGACCGCCCCTCTTAGGGGCTTTCCTGCCTGGACGCCACCTCTTTCCTTCTCAGCGCCTCCTGCACTTCAGGGAACACCGGCCGGCCCGGTCCCTCTGTGGACCAAGCCCCAGACTCAGCCCCTCCGCTGTTACTAGTAGCCACGCGGCCGACGTCACGGGGACACTGCTCAACACTGACCGGTGACTAGCTGCAGGGTCCGGCAGGATCACAGGGTGAGGTGTGGTTAGGTCAGGCCCCAGGCAGCCTCCTCATGGAGGGCGTTGGGAGCTCCTGCACCTAGCAGTCTCCCAGCGCCAAGTTTACATCACAGTTCCCTCCCTTTCACATCAAAATCCCTGTCTGCAATCCCCCCGAAATTACTGCCCTCAGGCCCCCCCTACATACATTAGAGTTCTGAGTCCCCCTTATAATTGTCTTTATCTCTCCCATAATTGTCCTCAGCCCCCCACATTACTGTTCTGTCCCCCATCATTGTCTTAAGCAGCCTTACTTCACATTCCCCCCTCCCTCCAGTCTTACCTTACACAGGAAAGCAAGAGGCACAGGAAGTTTGGACAGAGGCTGGGAGTTGCAAGCTGGTGATTGGTTGCTAGGACCGACCTAGCAACCAATCAGCTGCCAGATAGCTAGGGAAGCAAACCCTCCATGCTGAGCTGTCTTTCCTCCCGTTGTAGGCTACAAGGATGACAGCAGTGATGGCGGCAGGGTGTAACAGGCGTCTAAATGGCAGGACTGCGGCGGTCCAGGCAGGAAAGCGAGTCGGTCCGTGTGCGGCCCACGGTCTGCCATTTAGTGATGCCTGCTGTAAAGGATTAAAAAAAATGGGAAACATTTGCATAGTTACAGTGGATATAAAAAGTCTACACACCCTGATGAAATGTCAGGTTTCTGTGATATAAAAAAAATTAGAGATAAATCATTTCAGAACTTTTTCCACCTTTAATGTAACCTATAAACTGTATCACTCAGTTGAACAACAAACTGAAATCTTTTAGGTGGAGGGAAGTAAAAATAAAAAACACTAAAACAATATGGTTGCATAAGTGTGCACACCCTTAAACTAATACTTTGCTGAAATACCTTTTTATTTTACTACAACACTCAGTCTTTTTGGGTATGAGTATATAAGCATGGCACGTCTTGACCTGGCAATATTCGCCCACTCTTCCTTGCAAAAACACTCCAAATCTGTCAGATTGCGAGGGCACAGCTCTCTTTAGATCACCCCACAGATTTTCGATGGGATTCAGGTCTGGGCTCTGGCTGGGCCATTCCAAAACTTTAATCTTCTTCTGTTGAAGCCATTCCTTTGTTGACTTGGATGTATGCTTTGGGTCATGGTCATGAAGCAGGTGATGTTCCTCTTCATGTTCAGCTTTCTAGCAGAAGCCTGAAGGTATTGTGCCAATATTGACTGGTATTTACAACTGTTTATATATTCCCTCTACCTTGACAAAGGCCCCAGTTCCAGCTGAAGAAAAAGAGCCTCAAAGCATGCTGCCACCACTACCATGCTTCACTGTGGGTATGGTGTTCTTTTGGTGATGTGCAGTGTTGTTTTTGCACCAAACATATCTTTTGGAATTCTGGCCAAGAAGTTCAACCTTGGTTTCATCAGACCACAATACATTTTCCCACACGCTTTTGGGAGACTTAAGATGTGTTTTTGCAAAATGTAACCCAGCTTGGATGTTTTTCTTCATAAGAAAAGGCTTCTGTCTTGCCACTCTGCACCATAGCCCAGACGTGAAGAATACAGGAAATTGTTGTCACATGTACCACACAGCCAGTACTTGCCAGATATTCCTGCAGCTCCTTTAATGTTGCTGTAGGCCTCTTGGCAGCCTCCCAGACCAGTTTTTGTCTCATCTTTTCATCAATTTTGGAGGGACGTCCAGTTCTTAGTAATATCACTGTTGCGCCATATTTTCTCCACTTGATGACTGTCTTGACTGTGTTCATGGTGTATCTAATGCCTTGGAAATTCTTTTGTACCCTTTTCCTGACTGATACCTTTTAACAATGAGATCCCTCTGATGCTTTGGAAGCTCTCTGCAGACCATGGCTTTTGCTATAGGATGCAACTAAGAAAATGTCAGGAAAGACCTACTAGAACAGCTGAACTTTATTTGGGGTTAAGCAGAGGCACTTTAAAATGATGGCAGGTGTATACCGACTCCTATTTAACATGATTTTGAATGCGATTGCTTAATTCTGAACGCAGCTACATCCCCAGTTACAAGAGGATGTGCACACTTATGCAACCATATTATTTTATTTTTTTTATGTTTACTCCCCCCCCCCCCCACCCCAAAAGATTTCTGTTTGTTTTGCAATTAAGTTGTACAGTTTATAGGTCGCATTAAAAAGGTGAAAAGTTCTGAAATTATTTGTCTTTGTCTCATTTTTTTACATCACAGAAACCTGACATTTTAACAGGGGTGTGTAGACTTTTTATATCCACTGTATATATGTATTGATTTGATGTTTTTCACGTGATCATGAAAACATATTTGGCAGAAAAAAAAAATATGTAATTAAAACCAGTTTATAATAGGTAGTAATGGGTCCATGTACATGCAAGTGGAACTTATAGGTCAGCATTTATTATTTACAAACCAACCAAGCAAGATAGTTGTAAGTATGAAATCACTGTCGATCATTTAAAACGAAAAATCGCTGTAGATGTGAACAAGCCTGCCCAAGACTAGTAATGAACCTTTTAAACTTGCAGCAAAACTTTAATACAAAAGTGGCAAAAATACATTCGATGCAGTACGTACCTTTACAAAATAAAATTTTACCCTTTCTTCATTTGATGCTTGGATCCCAATAACAAATTTCTTCCACTTCTTGTATATTTCATCCAAACCAAACACAGAAGAGCCTATGATTTCAGGAGACTTACTTCTCTCAAAGTTAAGAACACTAAAAAGATTTTTAACTTGACTGATGAAATGATGTATCTAAAACAAAAATAGTTGAATATATATTTAAAAAAAAAAACTAACAAAAAAAACTTTGAATTTACCTGAATAAAATTTATTTCAGAAAGCAATCCAAAAGTCCTATATTTTAGTTTACAGTGGCAACATCCATTAGGAAATTAAACTGTTGGCCTACCGATAACTACAGTGTGTGCAGCCAAGAGGTCCTAGCTTTTTTGAGAGGTGACAAAATGTTTCTTTCCTGACATGTTTTTCCATTTTTTTTTAACCTCTTGAGAATTTAGGTAGTCAAAATTTCTACTCCCTCAATTGTAGATTTTATTTCTCCTTTCCTGTAACTGTTGAAGTAAACGTGAAGAATAAAATAGAGGACAGCTTTTTCAAATTATGAAGGTTTTAGATAATTTGTGAACCTGAAACATACATAAGCATACTCGCAGCTCAGGGCAATTACTGAGAGAACATTTATGTATTCCCTATTGCAATTATGTAAAGGTTTACAAAATTGCAATAGGGAATGTACAAAGGTCTTAACAATGCTCTCTTGGCTGCTAACTCAAACCTCCTGGCTGAAATAACAGTTACAAGTTAGACCAAATTGTTTGGACACATATCAAGTGGTATGCCTCAAAAGCGCAGTTCTTACAACTTAAGAGTAGGCCTAATGGTTAGTAACATAAAATCACTCTTTATAAAAAAAAGTCTGCACCAAGATACAATTAATAATAGGCATGGGAAAAGGATTGATAAGGCCAAAACTTGTGATTTGAAGGAATTTAGCGGCAGGTGCTGATCTACTCCCTTCTGCAAACACAGTAAGATTTTACCAGCTGAGAAGGTGGGAGGGTAAACTCCAACAGACTTGCAGCCTTTCTAGATACAATTGTATACCTTCTGAGAGGTGGACTTGCAAACCTAAAAGGTGTGTTGGAATATTTGCAGATTCAGAAATGTTCACTCTCAGCACATATGCTTTAACAGCCAGAAGTAGGGTGCAAGATAAGACCTTGTGTCACAAGGTCCAGATGTACCAGCAGATTCCACGGTGTGTATGCCAGCAGGCAAACCAAATCTTTATACCAAGCCCTTCTGAGCCAATCCAAAAGACACAAGGATGACAGGAATCCCTTCCAACTTGATCCTACGTATCAGTCAGTCTCATCAGTGGGAGTTATTAGGGTATCTGCTGCACTTGATGTCAGATCTATTCACCTCACAACAAACCTTTCCAACGTCCAGCTGAAACTAAATGCTGTAAATCCATGTCAAGCAATCCCTACCTTTGGAAGACTGGTGTATTACACACTCCACTGAATCCACGCTCTGTTGGTAATGGTAACCTGTTAGTTTTCAATGCCTGGACTGTCTAGCTGGTCTGCATGAAGAGGCAATCAAATCCACGTACAAGGCTCACTGGTCCTACATAGAGTGACAGGGATTCCACTCAACTCAATCCTGCACAGCAGCCGGCGATCAGTGGAAATGCATAAATTGACCTCATCACCAAAGAGACATTCTGTTTAATGGTTGGGTAGACTACAAGGATCTAGGATATCAAACTTTTCTTCTAGTCAGCAATTGATTGAAGATCTCTGATAAGAACATTTTGATCTCGATTTCCAGGAAAAAGAATCTAGAGGTATTTAGACAAAGCCTCAAACAAAGAGCTGGGTAAGAGATAGCCTTCTTCCTTGGATGTTAGAGAAAAAAAAAAAAAACTAAGGCTTTCTGGCAGCTGTTGAGTTTGGCCACCAGATGGTGCCATCTGCTTAGTAACAATTTTCTTGCACCTTGTGTCCTACTTGAGCAAGGGACCCTATAAACAGGTCTTGCGATTTCATGGATCATCAGCAGTAATCACTTAATTTTTTTTTTTTACAGTGATTACTGCTCCTCCAGAGGTGGGTGGGCCTGTAATTAGTCGCGTTGCTTTTTGTAGCATTCTCCTGTGAGTTCAGGAAAGAAGGATGAGCTTAAGTGGGTAATGAACTCTGGGTGCATGGATTAGAAGGGTGCCATAGTGCATCTAGGGGGACAACGCCGATGACTGTATGAGCATAATAGCTGGAGCCATTTAATTTTTGAAAGTTGCTGGGGATTCATATTGGTGGGGCTTTTGCTTAAACTGGACTTTAAAGAGAATTCTTGCAACTACAGAATACCCTTTTACCTTAGGGCTGCTTTGATGCCTGGAATGGCACTTAATTACCTTCAACAGGGACAGTTTTTGACCTTTTGGAACCACCTTGGAAACAGCTTCAGGTTCTGTTATATTAGTACACGTTTACAGCTTTCCCCACCTAGCAGATAGCCTGAGAAAATAATTTTTCAACTTCAGAAAAATCCTAGAAAAGTTGTTTCCCAAAGTGGACAGTCTCAGAAAGCATGATGTTTTTCTATTGACTTTCTGCCACTAAAAGATTTTTCTAGAAAACAAAAACCTGTTAAAGAAATGTAAGCTTTTATTGTTATTCCAATAATGATAGTCTCGCAAACTCTGATGTTTTATGATCTTGCAGCAACGCTCCAAAACACAAATTTATCCTTAACATGTGTGTATATTTTTCAAAACTAGTGATTCTGCAGCAACGCTCCAAAAACACAAATTTATCTTTAACATGTGTTTATATTTTTCAAAACTAGTGATTCTGCCTTGGCAGAGTTCTGCATTTGTCTTCTGTTACCAACCCGGCTTGCCTCTGACCTAATCCTAGATTTTGCTCTTCCTGACCTTAGCTCCGCTTAAGACCTGATACTTTTTACAACTCTTTACATCCCCCTGTTCGGTTCGCGGTCGAACATTCAAACCTACCGAAAACTCCAACCACAAACTTCAAAACAGGGACAATTCACTAAGCAGTATCTGACCGCATCTGAGTATGCGGAAAGATACCACACAACTACTAAAATCCCACTTGAGTATTAGTAGTGAAGACATCCTTTATAGTTTCAGCTGTCAGCGCGGTTCCCTACTGACAGCAGAACGTAAAAAGAATTGCTGGCATTGCCCGGCAATTTAAAAAAAAAAAAAAAAAAAAAAAGTGTCCATACCAAGGGCCCCTTCCCCATGATTTTGAACCCCATGGCCAGTGGTTGCAGGGGTCTGCGGGCAGGGGCCCTATTGGAATTTGGAAGCTCCCAGATCCCGCCCCCCCCCTATGTGAATGGCTATGGGGTACTACCCATTCACAAAAGAAAAAAAAAAAAAAGTGTACTGTAAAAATGACAAGACAGTCTTTGACAAGTCCTTTATTAAAGCAAAAAAAAAGTCCCCTGAAGTAGATTCAACGTTAGTCACAATGCTCACTGCCACCACCAGCCTGGGAAAAAAAAAAAAAAAACCCACACAAACGCCCCCCCCCCCCCCCCAAAAAAAAAAAAAAAAAAAAAAACAAACACTCTGCTCTCAACACTGGCTCCCACCGTCTGACAGCTGGGCCAGGATGACTTTTTTTAAACAGTGTGATGTCACAAGGGGGCAGGGTCACCCCCGAACCCGTGTGATATCATCATGCGCTGTAATTGGCCAAAGCATTGCACCTGACCTGTGATCAGGTGCATTGCTTTGGCCAATCACAATACACTGTCAGGGTGCAGTGCATTGTGTTGTGTGCGAGCAAACAGAACGCCAAACGCCTTTACCGTTCATGTGTTCACCGAACACACACACGGCTTATGTTCAAATCGAACATGAAGCCTAACACTACTGTAGGCTAATTGAAAGTCTAATAATTGCAAAAATAATTGCAAGAGAGGCAAATGCAGGGAAAGTAGACCCACCAAATACTTACACGAGCCCCAAATTTTTAAAGTGTGAGACAAGACAGGATTCATCAATTTAGGGCGGATGAAGCGAAGGCAAGGCTGAAGGCAGAAGGGGATGTGCATCCACCGTATCTATCAGTGCCCACAAGGGTAAATCCTTTAGGAAAAAAAGCTGAATGAGAGTAACTTGGGCCGCAATATAGTAATGATGAACATTCGGAAGGCCGAGACCACCCCGGATACGTGGGCGGTAAAGCAACTGCTTAGACAAACAAGGACGTCCCAAAGCCCATACAACAAACGTAAAAATTTGGCGTTGTAGGATAGAAAGTATCTGGGATGGAATCCTAACAGGGAGCACTCAAAAAAGGTAGCTTGGGAAGAGAAGTAATTTTAATCGTTTGGGCTCTACCAAACCAGGATAAGGACATGGACTGCCAAGAAGAGAGCAACTGGGTAATCTGAGAAAGTAGAGGAGGAATAGTCGCCAGATATAACAAATCATAAGAAGGTGCAAGTTTGACTCCCAAATAAGGAAAAAGAGGTCCATTGGAACGGAAATTGAGATTGAAGATGTGTCACAAGAAATTGGGGGAGAGAAATGTTCATAGCTACTGAAGTAGTACGATTTAAACGTAGTCCCAGGAGATGAGCGAAATCAGTCAAGAGCGATAAGATTGGGGAGAAAAATAAGAGGAGACGAAAGATGCATCAGAATATTGTCCGCAAAAAGGGCAATTTTATAATGCAATCCCGCCAACTCTAGACCCGAAATATCTGGGTGGAGCCAAATGCGAACAGTGAGGTGTGCAAGGGCCATAATAAAAAGGAGAGGAGACAGGGGACAACCCTAATTCATACCCCCCTAATTGGAAACCAAGAGGATTCAACCCATGGTAGCGGACCGTGGCTGATGGAATACTGTAGAGTATATAAATCCACTGGAGAAAATCATTTCCCACATCCCATCTCTGTATGGCTTTCTGTAAGTAAGTCCAGGAAAGAGTATCAAAGGCCTTTGTCATATCCAGGGACAGGAACAAAAAAGGTCACAAGACCTCATTCGAGCAAAATGACCAATTAAAATAGAACGCCGAATGCTATCAGCCGCCTGATACCGAGGTATGAAGCCAACTTGGTCCTTTATCAATTAAAGTAGGGATTAACACATTCAAACGATTTGCCAGAGTCTTAGTCAGAATTTTCACGTCCACGGTCAGCAGAGAAATAGGGTGATAATTCGACCAAGATTG